AAATAAATAAATAAATAAATAAATAAATAAATAAATAAATAAAATCTATGATATTGTAATAGCTATTCACCAATCTGAGCAAATGTAAAACCAAAGACTGGAACCCAGCAGTTGAAGCCACAAAAAACGACTGCCCCCTTGTGGCTGACAGGTGAAGTCCCATCTCTCTATTTAAATGAATAGGATTTGAACTTGATTAAAAATAAAAATACACTTCAGTATTTTTTTTTCAGATGTTGACTTTTGTTGTTCAGTTACTTAAGGCTGTAAAAAAAGATAATGTTACACAGTGACTGACATTGTTAGTCTGTTAGCAGGTTAAGAGGGTGAAGATGGGTTATTAGTCATAGTGGTACAGCTCACATTCCTAGTGCTCAGAGGCTGGTTTCAAAATTAGAACATGGTCAGGCATTTTGGCTTCTATTCTGGACAATAAAAACTACGGGAGTCACTGATTACATCAGATTTGTAGTTATTCGTGTGATTGTGAAGGACAACGCAATGGTACATTTATACTGTACACACATACTTGTCAATAACTGCCAACTAAAGGCTAATCATTGGTGTAAAAATGTCTCTCAATAAAATAAAATAAAATAAAATAAATAAATTTTAAAATTTCAAGAAATGTTGATTGAAAAAAGTGGGGAAGTTATGTATGTTCATTAAAATAGCATGATGTCACATAAACAACAAATAAACGCAAACTTGGCAGTCAACATTCACTGCAGTGTGTACCTGTTTGAGGTAACATGAACACAGACTGTAGACATGATGGTTGCATCCATTATGGCCACAAATATGCTAGGTAATTATTACATCATGTGAGAAACGGATCCTGCAATTCATTTACAAAAACTTAACCACCTGCATGTCAGACATCCTGAGAGAATATAGAAATGATGGACAATAACTCCACCTTCATCACACGGCATGCTGGGAGGTCATTTTAGGCAGGTAACAAGCAGATGTGTGGTCAGAGTACTCTGCTATTCTGCTTGGGAAAAGTGTTTTCTAACTAAAAGAACTAAGCGCGTACAGCATATTTAGTTTAAAATGTAATAAACATTTTTGTAAAAAAATATTCATAAAGTCTATTTTTAGATTGGAAAATGTCCTAATAAATAAAATTACTAATTAAGAATATAAATGAGTAATAGTGATGTTTTGTGATTCTAATGGGCCTAAATGTTTAGTCTCATTTCTTAAGTTTTTTTGTCAAGTTTTTTTTCCTGCATCTTGTCAGAGAGAAATGACAGCAGAGTGACTGAATTCATTCTGACTGGATTCCCTGGACTTCATCCAGAGTACTATGGTCTTGTTTCAGCTCTTTTGGTCTTTGTGTATTTGATGACTGTCATAGCAAATGCTACAGTTTTACTCTTATTTGCAACTAACCGCTGCCTCCATAAGTCAGTGTATTATATCATCTTAAATGTATCTGTATGTGACCTTCTGTTCAGCACAACAACTTTACCTAAAATCATCAGCAGGTATTGGTTTAAATCAGGATCCATTTCATTTAATGGCTGTTTTGTCCAAATGTTTTTTGTTCACTATCTTGGTTCAGTGAACTCTTTCATATTTTTCTTCATGGCTTTTGACAGGTATTGTGCTATCTGCCATCCACTCAAATATACAGTTGTTTTCATAAAACCAAGAGTACTTATACTCAGTCTGGCTGCATGGATAAATGCCAATTTATTCCCTTTCATGTTATTTTTTAGAGCATATCCTCTTCCTTATTGTGGCTCAAATGTAAACAGTCATTGTTTCTGTGATCATATTGGGATAACAGTTCTGGCCTGCACTGACAGGACCCCAAATTCTGTACCAGCTGTTATTTAAATATTTAACAGTTACATTTTACATTTTGTAAAAATTAGCAAAATGTAAGAACAGTGAGGTAAATAAAATTAAATGATTAGTGAAAATGTTTTAACTAGTATTTTACGCTCAAACTTATCTAAACAATGACGTGTTAATGACGTTTTTTGTCGCGCTTTGTGCCCCATAAAAATAGGGCTGTCTGTTTTTTTTATTGCAAATTCATAAAAATTAATCAATGCATTGTCATGAAGTAAAAAACTCTAAGTAACCCAAATAAAGGTTTAAGAAAATACCATGACTTCCATGATAGCTGCTTTTGCATCCTTTTTAACCCACATTTTCTGAAGGATTATGGACAGGTGGTGTTTGTCTCCAGTAGTCACTGGGTGAGAGGCAGAGTACACATTAACATTCACACACAAACTCACAACTAGTAAGAGTTTAGACTTACTTAATTGTGTGTCAGACATCCTGAGAGAATATAGAGGTGATGGTCAATAACTCCACCTTCATCACAGGAAATGCTGGGGAAAGTTATTTTAAGCAGGTAACAAACAGATGAGTGGTCAGAGGACTCTGCTGCTCTGCTTGTGAAATGTATTTTCTAACTAAAAGAACTAAACTCACAGAACATTTTGTTTAAAGTGTAACAAGCATATAAACAATATTGATTTTTTTTTCTACTAGATATTTAAAAATGGTAATTTTTAACTAAGGAGTAGTAATGGGTAAAACTGATGTTTTGTTTCTTGTCATTCTGATAAGGTTGGACTAATTTGTTCGATGTGTTACACTCATTACAAAATTGTATAGAAGTTCTTTCTGC